TGACCAATGCACCAGGGATTCATAATTATTAAACACCATTTTCATGAGCCACCTCTCAAGGGAAATTGTTGAAAGTTCTGTAAGAAAGGATAGAATAATAAAATGCTTACAAGCTTAGCAGTTTTACAAATGATTTGCAGTGATCTCCACATATTTGCATAAATAAACATATTAGTAAAAAAAATAAAACTGAGTTTAGTGAAACTTATTCCCAAGAACATGGATTTCAAACTAGAAGTTGAGTTAGGAAAAAAAAAAAGAAATAATCCTGCAATTAAAGATATTTATCTTCATAAGAAAAAATTGCTATTAATATGTCTATTTATAGGAAACCATGCTTTTGACAAAATCGGTGATAGAAAAACTGTTACCTATCCTTTTCATCTCTCAACCGTATCAAATGGATTTTTTTAAAAAAAATTTAATCCCACCTTTATTGTTTTTATAAATAATTCCAGGTGGCAAAGATATCTAATACTCCTTCATCTTATTTTCCCCACAACAACAAGCCTGTGAGGTGAGTTAGACTGAGAGACTGGATCAGAGTTATCCAGGCACTTTTCCTTTGAGGGGCTAGTATGTTTGGGCTACAAAACTCTGGGTGACCATTAGATGGCAATAAAGACATACAGTACTCCAGATCTTCCTGCCACCTGGATGTTTGCAGCCCAGATCTGGTAACCCCACTTGTCTTTTTCCCAGCTCACTGTGACAGAGACTGAATCTTTTTGTTTTCTCAACAGATAATAGCAATAGCAATTAGACTTATACAGTATACCACTTCACAATGCTTTACAGCCCTCTCTAAGCTGCTTACAGTGTCAGCATATTGCCCCCAACAATCTGGGTCCTCATTTTACCGGAGGATGGGAGGCTAAGTAAACCTTGAGCTGTTCAGAATCAAACTCCCGAAGGGAGCAGTGAGTTAACCTGCAGTTCTGCATTCCAACCACTGCGCCACCACAGCTCTCTAGAGCACTCCAAAATTCAGACCCTGGCCTATGCTGAATCTGGAATGATTTTTTTCCCCCACCAAACTTTCCCCTGCAATGGTTCCCTCGTTTTACTTGTTATGGTTAGCATCTTTTTGTCATAGCCAATTTTAGTTCTGAATGGAGTTGCACTACCCCAGAGAGACCCAGTCTGGACTCATGACTCCTGCTCGATTAGCAGGTGAAGTCGTGGCTAGAACCTTTCCACAACTTTGTGTTGTGTGCCAATTGTGCTTTTTCCTGGACTAGGAATTCCTGTGCTCAATCACTCAAACCCTGGTCATCTCATGCTTGGATTATAGAGTGCATTCTACAAGGGGTTACCCTTGAAGAGTATCCAGAAGCTTCAGCTGCTGCAGACTCCTAGGTGGCCCATGTTACACTGCTATTGTAGGAGATGACCAGGCTGAGCCCGAGGCTAAGGTCAAATGTATCATCAGTTTGGTCTCTACGCAACTGTAAGAGACCTACGTCCAGCCCTCTGTGCTTCGGGGTCCAACTCAAGGTGTTGACTATCACCTTTAAGGCTCTGCATGGCATGTGTCTATGTTATCTGAGAAACCAAGTCACTTCAATGGGATTAGCCTGCCCCACCCATACTGGGAGAAGGGACATGCTGCAGATTCCATCAGCCAAGGAATTTCTGCCAGAAAGAAGCTTTTTTGTCGTGGCAGAACATCCCTGGAACAATTTGTCCCCAGAAATCAGATCTGCTCCCACCCACTTGGCCTTCCAAAAAGCCTTGAAGACATGGCTATGACAACTAGCCTGAATCCCTATTGGGGGTATGGCACATTGGAGGTGGCTAATAGAGTAGAGAATAACCTGCGTCCTCCCTGTGCACACGTTGCTCTCTTTTTCCCTCTCCATCCTGCTTAGCTTTATTTTAATTCAACTTCTAAATTTAAGATCTTTATTGTTTTAATATTTTATACTGCATTTTATTCAATGTTTGTAAGCCACTATGGTTCTCTTTGGCGAGATGGGCAGCGTACATGTTTGATAAATAAACAAACATAAGCAAAAATTGCTAGGTACTTTCAGATAAGGCAAGGAAGTAACAGGCAGTAGGGAGAAAGCAGAGCTGCTTAACTCATTTTTTGCATCAGTCTTCACACAAAAAGAAATTATAGCTCAAAATATAAAAAAACTACTGCAAAAGACAAACTAGAAACAAAAATTAAAATAAGCAAGAAAATGGTAAGAAAACACCTATTTGACATTGATGAATATAAATCACCGTGACCCAACAGATTATATGCCAAAGTTCTGAAGGAGCTGGCAGATGTTATCTCAGAACCATTGCACCATATCTTTCAAAAATTCTGGAGCATCAGGGAAGTACCTGATGATTGGAAAAGGGCTGATGTGGTTCCCATCTTCAAGAAAGGAAAAAAAAAAAACCAGAGCCAGGAAACTACAGACCAATCAGTCTAACATCAATACCTGGGAAGATCCTGGAAAAGATAATAAAAAAATAGATCTGCAAATAACTAGAAGCAAACAAAATTATAACTAGTAGTCAGCACGGGTTTGTCAAAAACAGATCATGCCAATCCAATCTCATTTCATTCTTTGATAAAGTGACTAAATTAGTGGACCAGTGAAACGTTGTGGACATAGCATACTTAGACTTCAGTAAGGCATTTGAAAAAGTAGACCACAACCTGCTGCTTAGTAAGCTAGAAAAATAATACTTTGCATGATCTTTGCATGATAGACAACAACACCATCAGATGGATCTCAACAAGTAGTCCTCAATAGCAGCACATCCATATGGAGAGAAGTAAGCAGTGGGGTACCACAAGGTTCTGTCTTAGGCCCAGTACTTTTCAATATCCTCATTAATGACTTAGATGAAGAAATAAAAGGGGAGCTCATCAAATTTGCAGATGACACTAAACTGGCAGGAATAGCCAACCCCCCAGAAGACAAGCTCAGGATCCAAAAGGTTCTTGACAAACTTGAACAATGGGCCCTATCCAACAAAATGAGTTTTAATGGGGAGAAGAACAAAGTCTTACATTGAGGCAGGAAAAATTAAAGGTTTAAGTACAGATTAGGCGAGACTTGGCTCAAAAACAGCAACTGTGAGGGACCTTGGAGTCCTAGTGGACGATCTCTTGACTATGAGCCAGCAGGGTGCAGCAGCAGCAGCCAAAAAAAGCTAATACAATCCTGGGTTGTATAAACAGAGGCATAGAATCAAGGTCATGCAAAGTATTAGTACCGCTTTATAAAACCCTAGTAAGACCACACCTGGAATACTGCAAAAAATGTTGGTCACCATACTACAAAAAAGATGTTCAGACTTTGGAAAAAGTTCAGAAAAGAGCAACTAAGATGATCAAAGGCCTGGAGACTAAACCATTTGAAGAACGGATGCAGGACTTGGGTTTGGCTAGTCTAAAGAAAAGAAGAAACAGGGGTGACATGATAGCAATATTCCAGTATTTGAGGGGCTGCCACAAAGAAGAGGCTGTCAAACTATTCTCCAAAGCACCAGAGGGCAGGACAAGAAATAATGCTTGCAAACTGACCAAAGAGAGAAGCAACCTGGAATTAAGGAGAAACTTCCTAACAGTGAGGACAATTAACCATGGAACAGCTTGCCTTCAGAAATCGTGGGTACTCCATCACTGGAGGCTTTTAAGAAGAGATTAGACAGTCACTTGTCTGAAATGATAGGTTCTTCTGCTTGAGCAGGAGGCTGGACTAGAAGACCTCCAAGGTCCCTTCCAGCTCTATTCTATTCTAAGAAGGCTTTTATTTTATAATTGTCTTACCGCATTCAGAGAATTTTATATGGAACTTTGAATACAGCCAACTTCCACTTGGTGTTCTCCCAAGTCCTTTTATTGCTTCTGTTTTTTTCCCCCTTGCAGGGGAAAATCCATTAGGAAGGACCAAACGATATTATTGCAAAATGTCTTTTAATAATTAGCACTAGCAATCACATATCTGGAAACATCCCCACCTGAATATTATATTTTAGAAGCTGTGGATACCTTAGGGTGAACATTCATGAACAAGATCCCCATAATATTATGTCAGATAATGGCATTTTGACAGATGCAGATTTTGTTACCACTGCAATAGAAGCAATTGCTTAAAAAATAAAGTACAGAAGTCCACTCCTTATGCATTCAGTCACATTGCTCTCCCACTTCTCTTGCGATCAGCTCTATGCAGATAATTTTTTTAAAATGCATGACCCTCCCCATTCTGAATTCCATGTTGAAGTGGTGCGGAACTATAGCAACATACCTAGCTGTGTAATACTTGCACAAGCAATAATAATAATAATCTCTGACTATAATTGCCGAGCAAGATTGTTCTGAAATGCCAAGCTGCTGTAAATTAGTTTATAATACCTTACCAGCACTTCCTGCGAGCTTACCTTTTTTATTTTAATCATGATCTTAGCCTATATTTAGCAGAATGCAGATTTAACACGATCCCCCTTTTGTAAAAAAAGAAAACATTACATTTATTTTGCACATTCATGCTAGCTAGAGGAAGAATCGTCTGGTTGCTAGTTTTGCCACGGCTCTTCGGTGTGCTGCCTCCCTACTAGATTTAATTCCGATCAAATCTCATTGCATGTTATCGATTTATCCTTTGCAAAAGGGACGTGGTGCTTTATTTCGGGAAGGGCATGGAGCAGAAAGAAAAGGACTGAAACGTAAAACCGAGCAAACTTCAACCCCCCCTCCCCCCAAGGGAAAGATCAGCGAGGAACGCACCACAGGCTGAGGGGCAAGCAACCATATTTCTTGTTTATGCAGAAAACCGTTATGGCCAGCTCCCAGCTTTGCGTTCAAGGGCTGATTCGGGAGATAACGTCAGAAGGCAGATTGTTGACTCTCGGAACCGAAGCGCAACCACGCACGTCTAATACGTTTACCAGCCCATTTGGGCTTCCCCGCCCCGGTTCCTCTCTTTTGTGCCTCTGCGGACGGCAGAGGGAAAGTTTGCTGATTAGCTGAGCGGCTTGTCAATCAGGCGCTTGGGAAATTCCAAATGGGCGGATCTGAGTCAAGGTTCCTCCTGGGCAAGCGGAGAGGAAGTAAAAGCGATGCTCGTGAACGCAAAGCTCTGGAGGTCCCGAAGCTGTTTGGACCTCGATCTGTACAATTTTAGCAGGTAGGACTAGCTCACCTTCTCCCCTCTCCCTTCTCCCTGCAGGAAGTCGAGCTCATTACGCCTCTTTTAAACTGAAGAAGGAGGTGGGAAGGATGGAGTCCTGGGTGCTTTCGGTACATGTCCCAGATGCTTTTATGTGTGGCACGGCTTATTATTATTTTTATTTTTAAATAATAATATAAGGGATGCATGTCACATTTCCTGGTATTTTAGGGTTTGGGAATAAAGGCGAAATAGGTGAGCATGTGATAAACAGAGTATTGCTGTAAGGGATGCATGCAGAGGCAGGTCTGAATTCTCTCGTTTGGACCACTTTCTGGTGAACGATTTTTCTTAATCTCACTTCATATTGCACGTAGTAAACAATGATGTGGTAACTGTATTGAGTTTTGGGGGTTATCCAGAAAAAAAGGTGAACGTTCCCTTTGAGTTCCCTGCATCCCTTTGAATGTAGAGTCTTTTTAAAAATATCCTTTTCCAAGTACACAACTGAAATTCTGTTGACTTATTTCTCTTTGTTGTTAAAAGGTCAGATCTCCTGTATGTGGCAACTCTTTGAAGTACATGAGTGGAAAGATCACATCAGATTGTGGTGTCATGTAAATGAATTAAATTACTGACTCATTTGCTAAGCACTGTTCTTGTTTGGGAGCAACTGATGTGTCTGACATGTGGGGCCCAATTCTTTTCATATATACCTATTTGTTCAAAGTTAAAATATGTGGATTCCCAGATAAACATGCACAGGATTATATAACCTTTTTTATGTCTTCCATAGACTACAGGTTTGAATATGTGGGAAATATTTTATCTTCTCTTTCCCAGACTGAGTTAGATCCATTTAATTAATGTTAAAATATGATTGGCTGGTTTGTGGCTGGTATGCTTGGTAGGACAGGTAAGTCCAATTGATGGTATTCATTCTATAATGGTTAATCAGCATGTCATGGTCATGGTGAATAGCTACTAGTGAGCAGGGAATTAAAGCTAAATCTCATTAGTAAAAATAACAATCTTCAAATTGAAGGAGGGGCACAGATCTAGCCTCAGACTGGGAAACAATGTAAGCAATTACATCTTCAAATAGTTTTCTTGATAACAATATAGTAATGATTTGCTACTACAGTATTGTGGAGGGGGGAGGTGCTTCTACTTTTCAGTCTAACCTATATTCCTGGAATTTCCTGTCATCTCCTTTTCAATCCTAATTAGGCCTTAGATTTTTTTTCTTTTTGGTGGTGGTGGTGGGGAGGTGCTGTAACAAATTCCCAATTATTTTTCAATTATTTTGGTTTGTCAGTTCACTTTCTCATTCTCTATTTCTCAGAATAAAGGAAAATAAGCATAATCACACATTTTTCTAAGATATAATACAGGCAGTCCTTGACTTAATAGTTCATTTAGTGACCATTCAAAGTTACAATGGCACTGAAAAAGTGACTTACGACCATTTTTCACACTTATGACCATTGCAGCATCCCCATGGTCATGTGACCAAAATTCAGATGCTTGGCAATTGTCAAGTATTTATGACAATTGCAGTGCCCAGGATCATGTGATCACCTTTTGTGACAAGCAGAGTCAATGGGGAAGGCAGATCCACTTAAAACCATGTTACTAACTGAACAACTGCAGTGATTTACTTTACAAATATGGCAAGAAAGATCATAAAATGGAGCAAAAGCCACTTAACCACTATCTTGCTTAGCAACAAAAATTTTGGGCTCAATTGTGGTCGTAAGTGGACTACTTGTATTGTTTTGGAGGGCTTAAGAATATTGTGTGAACTGAACCTCTTGATTTGAAAACCAAGGTTTAGCATAATGTGTGAAACCAACTAATGGTTACTAGTCAAGTAACAGAGTAGTTGAAGCTACAAAGAGTCTTGGAAAGCTTCACTTCTGAGTAACTTTCTGTTGGAGGTATCCTTGTATTTCAGGCTATATTGAGTTGAATGAAAGTAAGAGTCAATATTTTGTCAATTATTTGATACTGGTGTTTCAAAATTCTGTCTGTTGTAAACATTTTTATTTTCACAGAACCTTATTCTCATTTAATTCATGGTTGAATTAAAAAACACACAACCTGATTTTAAAGGGAAGGCAAGGCAGTCCTTTTTAAAGGATTTTTTTTATTCCATTCCTGCTTTGCTGTTGGAATCATCATACAGTAGGCAAGTTCAGCAACAGAGTTGTGATACAACCATTAAGGTGAAAGGCTCAATAAAAAAAAAAGAAACTGAAACCATCACCAGTGGCCTGTGTACAGAGTATGGATATCAAAACAAAGAGGTAGATTTGTGAGAAAGGGTTGTTATGTGGCATATCCCCAGTTTGGTTTCTGTTACTCCATATGCAAAATAACATTGCAGTACATATAGTCATCCTCCACATATTACCATTATGGAGACTGCCCATGACAGATGTATGTTGCAACAGTCATAAAATCAGTTGGTCATGTGACCAATCCAATTTTATGATTTTTTTTTTTTTTTGCAATTATCATATGTGCAAACCCGGCAGTCACAACTGTGAACCTATTGTTTGTTATGGGTGTGATTTTGCAAAAAAAATGGAAGTAAGCGTTGAGTTTTGGCAAAACCATGGTTAAAATAGTCACATGACTCTGGGATGCTGCAAATGGCCATAATAGTGTTGCCCAAAGGTATGGTTATGTGACCATGGTGGTGGGATGGGGGGGTGACCATCAGAATTTTGAATTGGGTTGTTAAGTCCCCTTTTTCAGGCAGGTTGTAACTTTGAAGAGTTGCTAAGCAACCGGTCGTAAGTTGAGGACAATCTCTATATGTATTGGCTTCTGTGTGAACTAGAACCTGCATTATGTAGAAGCCAAGGTACATGTACTTCACGTGGAGGATTTTTCTCCTGCACACATCACTGCTAAACATGTTGACATTGTTTGAGTGACGTTTGCTTGTGCACAGAGCTTTTTAAAGAATGCCTGATGGAATTACTCCATTGTCCTAATAGATTCTCCCAGAATCCATCTGATCTGTTCATAGACTAGTTTCTTTGATTTTGTTTTAGCTTGTTGGTGAGTCTAGCCACTGTGGTTTATTCAATAGCCTGTGGTTAAACTATGGCTTAGTATCTATATGAGCTAAGTCACCAGCTCCTTATTGTAACCTTTGGGTGAACTCCTGTATTGGTTACCTGTACTGGAAGTGGTTAGGCTCTCATAGTGTTCCAGGACTCCCTCTGTAGCCTTGAGATACAGAACTTCTGCTAACCAAAGTGTAAAAAGAAAAGAAAAGACAGGATGAAACCAAATAGTTTAGACTAGACATGTCAAATTCGCAACGTCACATGATGTAGCTCGACATATCGGGACTGTTTTGCCATTGCCGGTAATGGGGTAGGCCCATGGGCCGGCAGTTTGACACCCCTGGTTTAGACTTTTGCCCTTACTTGTCTATCTGTGTATGTATGCATGTATGTACATGTGGTCCTTGACTTACGACCACAATCAAGCCCAAAATATTTGTTGCTAAGCAAGACAGTTGTTAAGTGAGTTTTGCCCTGTTTTATGACCTTTTTTGCCACGGTTGTTAAGTGAATCACTGCATTTGTTAAGTAACGCAGCTGTTAGATGAATCTGGCTTCCCCATTGACTTGCCAGAAGGTGGCAAAAGGGGATCACGTGACCCTGGGACACTGCGACTGTCATAAATATGAGTCAATCGCCAAGTGTCTGAATTTCGATCACATGACCACAGGGCTGCTGCAACGGTCGTAAGTGTGAAAACAGTCATAATTCATTTTTTTCAGTGCTGTTGTAACTTTGAGTGAGCTGCTGTAAGTTGAGGACCGCCCGTATACATATTCACATATTCTGTAGGTGTGTGTATATGTATTCATGAGCATTCCAGGCAATAGTATAGCATTGGTTTGAAGGTAACCATGAACAAGCTTTCTAGAAGTAAGGGTACACAGACTGTTTATTATAAACTTTAGACTATTTATAATAAAGTTGGACAGCGAGAGGTGCTCTGGGCACAAGAAAAGATGTAGTTTTAAAATTGTGCTGGCTCTGTTCTCTTATTACAAAAAGGAGACGGTCCCTGACATCTGTGTACAAAAGCGAGTCATTCAGGATGTTGAGTTCTGATCTAATCACTCCTCCCTGAGATGCACTGTCATTGGTGATGTCTGTACCAATTCAATGCCAGCTCTGGATACATATTTTCTTTCCCAAGTAGTGGTTCTTATTTGTGGCTGAATCATTTGGACTTTTACCACTATTCATTAACATTTACCTCTCTTTTTTCGGCCATTGGGACAGGAGGTAAGGCAGAAGGTCATGATACTCCCTCTCGCCTTTTGTTTTTTTTTATTCATGGCATTCATGTGCTATGAATCATGTTCTGATGGTTTCCCCCTGAAATAGTCTGGGCTAGAATTGGCCTCTGTTTCCTGGAAAAAAATCCTTGTGTTTTTATTATACCTTTGGGGACATATGCCAAAATACTATAGTAGCGTGTGTTCAGCTACTGTATCATTCATTTATTATTCAAAATTCTAAAGCAGTGTTTCTCAACCTTGACAATTTTAAAGCATGTGGACTTCAACTCCCAGAATTCCACAGCCAGCAATACTGGCTGTGGAATTCTGGGAGTTGAAGTCCACATGCCTTAAAATTGTCAAGGTTGAGAAACACTGTTCTAAAGCCACCTATCTCATATATGTGACTCTGAGCAGCTTAGAAACAGTTAAAACAAATATAAAAACCAGCAAAAAAAGAACAATACAACAACAAAAATATATAAAAAACACCTGACCTTCCACAAGAGCCTGAAGACCTGGCTCTACCAGTTGGTTTGAGGCCCAAATGGGGGACTATACGCTGGTTTGAGGCCCAAATGGGGGACTATCACGCTGGAAGGAGGTGGCTGACGGACTAATAGCAATTCCCCTCCCCCTTGTACGTTATGCTCCCTTCCTCCCCATCTTTTAGTTACAATTGTATTTTTATTATGATTT